GTACATGGTGTTTCACTCAAGTTGCACACTTGCGTGGTGTGCACATTTTAAACGTTTTGTAAACGTTTAAATTCTGCACACTTGGACACACACCGTTCTATGCGATCAATAGGAACCGTATAGTAGTTGCAGCTGCTATTCATTTCGTGTCGAAAGTTTAAACACCAATTGTCGTTTAACATAGTTAGACATCACAATGTGTTGAGAAAATGCACACTTGAACTTCAACACCAATTCACGTAAAACATTAAACACTTGTCTTACCAACCCCGGGACGGTCCTCAATCATATGAAGAAATGTTCCAAAATCGTCACTCGAACACTGTAAACTGTACTAACGTCTTTCAAACGCCAACATTTGACGTCTTTCAACGCAAACATTTGCAGTCTATAGAAGACGCCTAAATTTTGGCGTTAAAACTCGCCGACCACGCTCCACTAAGAGGACAACTGTGACAACTGTAAATGTCAAGGACCATTTTTGTAACTAGCGCCGGACTTCTGTGTGCATAACTGAGTTATTCAGTCACACTGTGCGTATCTGGTTACCATGTTACAAAAAGTGGCCTTATATAAAGTGGAGACTCCCAGCATTTTCAGCGTTTCCAGTGGCGTTGCAGTGCATCGCGATACCAATTGAAGAGCTGGTGCTCGGCCAGGGCCCGAGTCCGATGCGACCGCGCGACCGCGGCGAACAGCAAGGCAGTCGCAGACAATTTTTTGGCGCAACAAGTCGCGCGGCTTTGGCCGGCGGGGCGAGTCGGCCCGCGCTATGGGCGCCCTGGCAGGCTAACCAACCGCTGGCCGCTGGAAGTCGTCGGGCTCTGGCCGCGCTGGCCTTGCCGCCGCCCGCTGCCGCCCAGATAAAATCTGACTACCAAGTTCGGGAGCAGGCGGGGGCGGCGAGAGCAAGCGGCGGCTGCAACTTCTTGGGGGCCAACTACTGCGATCTGGGCCGGCGCCCCGCAGCGGGGCTAACTCCGGAGAGAATGGTGGGTCCCCCCGCGGCGCGGCACGGCAGGTCCCGCGGTGCCGGGCCGGGTGCGGCCGGGCGCAGATGGACCGACTCTGCGGGCTGTCCGTCCGCAATCCGCCATCCCGAGACACTCAACAGTAGTAGCAGCCCCACCAGGGCCCAGGGCCCCCGGGCCCGCCGTAAGCCCCCGCGAGAGCCGCGAGTGGACTGGGGCGCAATCCACTTTGGCTTTGGCCATCGTTCGACCGGAGCGAGGCGAGGAGGAACTCGGCGAGGGCGCCGGCCGGCTCATATCGGCACTAGGCGGCCCCGTCCCCGCCCCTATGCAAAGGAAGCCGCTGGGGATAAAGCGCTTTCGCTCTTCTTTTTTTCAGTTCCCTCTCGTGCTTCAGCCGCTATTTCTTTACTAGTGTGTGAGAAAAACAGAAAAAGAAAGAAGTGCAAAAGAAAGCTATCGGTGGGAAAAGAGACCTCCTCGGTATGAGGAGACTTGGTGCTCGATGCGAGTTTCTCTCTCGTTCATATTCTCCCCCTCCCCAACACCAGCAGGTACCCGGTCAGAGTCTTTATGCCGCTGTTCCCAGCTAGGGCCCGACGCTTTTTACGTCGATGGCGGGCCGTTCCATTCCCCTTCCAATTCCTTCATTGGCTATGGGGCTTTGTCTTTCTCTGCAGCCAGCACCAAGGGCGGCGGGCCGAGCCCCAAGGGCACCACCCCGGGGGGCGGGCCGAGCCCCACGGGCCCGCGGGCGCGCCGCTGCGGAGGCGGCCCGAGGCGACCCTTAAACTGCCGATATACTCTTCATGCATCGGCTCATCATGGAGTACAGTCAGAGACAGGGCGATAGGCCCTCCCACGCCGAAGGCCACCGAGGCCATACCGACCGAGCGAGTCTTAATTCTTTCTTCTTTTTATTTTTAGTGACGACTTACGCTTGCGGCAGACCAAACGGACTACAGTTAGCACTGCGAGCAGACGGGACGAAAAGTTTCCGCAAGACAAGTTATGCTGCCTCCCTCCCCTCATCGCGGGGCAGTTGGAGTGGGCAGACAGCACAGTACCGTCGCACCTTGTCCTTTCTTTTCTGCCGTACAGTAGTCCAGCAGAGCTCTAACGCACCAGACATCCCTCTCAGGTGGTAGA